CTTCTATGCCAGGAGTATATGAGGTCATAAGAACAGGAAAGAAAAATTTTGCCAGTAGTTTACTAGGGCTAATAATGAATGGTGCCACTCCCAATCCTTGATTCCTGGACCCATGAAGCCTGGCTATGTGAGAACAGCAGAATACATAGAGCATATATAGCCTCCCAGAGAATCTTGTCCTAGCCCTGCAAGATACCGCCACCTTTCTGGCACTTAACTGAGTCTTCAAAAGGCCAGTCCACCATTCTATGAAACTAGCTGCCTCAAGACATTGAGGAACATGTTAAGACCAGTGAATTCATGAGCTTGGGCCCACTACCACACTTCATTTGCTATGAAGTGAGTTCCTTGATCAGAAGCAATGCTGTGTGAAATACTAGTGATGCTGGATAAGGCATTCTATAAGTCTGTGGATGGTAATTTTGGTTGAAGGATTACATGGAGGGAAAAAAATCAATATCCAGAGTATCTATTTCAGTAAGAACAAAATGCTGCCCCGTCTGTGATGGAAATGGTCCAATATAATCAACCTGCTAGCAGGTAGTTGGCTGATCTCCCAAGAGAATGATGCCACATTGGGGGATCTCTGCTTCTAGCAGATTGAGCACTCAGCAATGGCCATAGCCAGGTCAGCTGTGGTGAGTAGAAGTTCATGTCACTGAGCCCATAAATAACCCCTGTCCCTAGTACCATGGCCACTTTGTTCATGAGCCCATTGGGCAATGACAGGTGTGGCTTGGGAAAGAGGCTAACTGGTAACCACAGAATATGTCATCCTATCCACTTGATTATTAAAATCTTCCTCTACTGAGGACATACTTTGGTGATCATTCACACGAGACACAAATATCTTCACATTTTTTACCCATTCAGCAAGGTCTACCCACATACCTCTTCCCAATACCAATTTTCAAATCAATGTTCCTTCCAAGTCTCTGACTAGCCAGCCAAACTATTGGCCACAACCCATAAATCAGTATATAATCACTAATCTGGTCATTTTTTACTTCCAAGCAAAATGAACAACCAAGTGGGGTGCCTGGTTGGCTCAGTCAGTTGGGTGTCCAGCTTCAGCTCAGGTCATGATCTCACGGTTCATGGATTCGAGCCCTGCTCGACTGCCAGCTCAGAGCCTGGAACCTGTTTCAGATTCTGTGTCTCCTTCTCTCTCTGACCCTCCCCTGCTCATGCTGTCTCTCTCTCTCTCTCTCTCTCTCAGAAATAAATAAAACAATTAAAAAAAATGAACAACCAGGTGCATTGCTTAACATTCTGCCCAGTGAGAGGATTTCCTTTCACCATTGTCCTTTACGTCCCAGAAAGAGGCTGTAGTAATGTAGCTGTTCATTTTCAAGCGGTGCCTACGTATCGCACAGAACTACTTATAAATCAGACCTATGATTTATTTTCTTCCGTCAACTGATTATAGGGAAGTCCCCATGAGGACAGAGGCACAGGCTGGGAAAGAGAAGGTAATATAGTAGGAGTGGGGATACTTTTATATCTGTACTATGAATCTAGCTCATTCATTTTAACAGCTGGATAGTATTCTATTTTATCCTTGAACCATAAAACAACTGTCCCGTTGTAATGGGTTTTCAGCTTGCCTCCAAATTTTTAATTTTGCTTTTAAAATGTTCCAGAGAGGGGCGCCTGGGTGGCTCAGTTGGTTAAGTGTCTGACTTCGGCTCAGGTCATGATCTCACGGTTTGTGGGTTCAAGCCCCGTGTCAGGCTCTGTGCTGATAACTAGCTCAGAGCCTGGAGCCTGCTTCGGATTCTGTATCTCCCTCTCTCTCTGACCCTCCCCTGTTCACTCGCTCGCTCTCTCTCTCAGAAATAAATAAAACATAAAAAAGTAAAATAAAATGTTCCAGAGAATGAATGAATGAATGAATATATATATATATATATATCCTTGTCCACTTGTGAGATTTCCATAAAAATTAAAAATTGGAAACAGAAAATAAGGTATTAACTGTGACAACTAGATTGGCTACCCTAGAACAAAGATGTATCAAGAGGCTCAAAGAACCATTTTGAAATCTATTACAAATATCTGCCACAAACCACTCAGAAAAGAAACTAATGAAACTCTCAAGAGAATGTGTGTATATGTATCTACATATCTTACCACTTGATACTTTTACATTAACATTTAAACCAATATAAGAACAATTATTTTTGTCTACAGTTTTGAATTGGCTTATTATTGTCACTGAATGAATTTTGGGTATTCAACAGTCAGAATATAACCCAACTATTTCGAAGTCTTCTATTGGCTGCTTCCACAAATTACCAAGTAGATCAATTACGTATTCAGTATTTCTGATGATTGTTTCTATCCCAAGAGATGACCCAATCTTAAGATTACTTATTTAAGTAATTACTTATTCAAATTCAACAGATAACTTATTCTTACACCTCCACATAATCATATATCTTTTCTAACTTTGTCAAACTAGTAATCTTAACAATTTATAAATCAAAAAAATTCATTCCATTCCAACCAGGAGTATAATTTTTTTCCAATTCCTTTTATGAAGGATTTCTAAGTTTCACACTTTAGTGGTTGGTTATATTTCATTGGACTAAGCTCAAAATTGTCATCTCATACATGAGTAGCTAAAATGTGTATCTCTATTTACAGTCCTTAGTAGAGACTTAGTAGAGATTTCACCTCTGAATTACATAGCAAAAACTTCAGGCAAAGTTTTAAATCTTTGTCAGCTTCAAAAGAAACCAACTTTCTTTCAAGCTAAAGTGGGGGGGAGGGTTTCTTTTTCAGTGGCTGCTTGTTACTCACAAAATCTTACAAGTAAACCACCTTGTGAAAAGAGCTTAAATTCCATCATCTGAGATTTTATTTGAAGTCTTTAAAGACTTTCAGTCTTCTAAAAAATCTCTTAAAATACAAATTCCTGGGAGAGTTAATCCATTTAGCCAAGAGAGCGGCTACCATCTTTATTAAACAATTTAGAAATGAGACAGAGGATTTGGGCATAGATAAAATCAAGAAAGAAGAGGGCCAGTGAGCCAAAAAATAATAATTTTTTGCTATTTTACAATTTTATCAATAGTCTACTTACATAACATTTCAGGTTATAAATGAATCAGAAATATAAATACATATTAACTTGGGTTTGTATATTATCTTCTAAAACAATTCAAAACATCAGTCTGGTAAGTTTAGAGAATGACTTACTTATAGATTTCTCTTAGACACACTTTCCTTTCCTTTTTAAATTTTTTTTAATGTTTTATTTATTTCTGAGAGAGACAGAGAGAGACAGTATGAGCAGGGGAGGGTCAGAGAGAGAAGGAGATACAGAATCCAAAGCAGGCTCCAAGCTCTGAGCTCACTGTCAGCACAGAACCCAATGCGGGGCTCGAACCCACGAACTGTGAGATCATGACCTGAGCCGAAGCCAGACACTTAACCAACTGAGCCACCCAGGCACCCCGACATACCTTCTTTTCAACTCAATGAACTTTCTATACTTTGTTCCTTCTAGAAACCATTAATACTTGCTAACTCTGGAGAATGGATCCCTTTTTATTGTCCGATCCTTCTTGAGCTAATCATTATCTTAACTTTTATCCTGATCACGTCTTTGCTTTCCTTTAGTTTTACCACCCATATGCGTATCCTTAAAATAAAAGAATTTAGTTTTGCCTATTTTTGTACTTTATAGAAATGGAATCATACTGGATGTACTCTCTTTTGCTCCATATTGTTGCTGGTAGCTGTACTTTGTTCATTTGCATTTCTGCATAATTTTCCATCTTATAAGTATACTTTAATTTATTCCTACCTTTTACAGTTAATGGATATTTGTAATGTTTACATTTGGGGATTATGAACAATGCTGTTATTATAAGCACTGTTAAACATGAACTCTGGTAAACCTAAGCACACAGTATATTCCTAGGAGTAGAACTGTTATGTCATAAGATGTGAATGTCTCAAGTTTATTTGGTAATGCAAACTAGTTTCCAAAGTGGTGTGCCAACTTACACTGCTACTAAAGCATATGAGAGCTCCTGTTGCTTCTTATCCTGACCAATGCCAATTTTTTCTAATTTTCAAAAATCTGCTAGGTAAAAAAAGATACACCACTAATCTACATAACCCTGATTAAGAAGGATGTTGAAATTTTTTTTCATATATTTTATCAACCATTTACATATCCCATATTATGAAATGGTGAAATGCCTTTCACTTGTCTTGCCCTTTTTTCTATAGGGTTGTCTTTTTTGTTTTTTAAGAAGTTCTTTATTCTGCAACAATAGCCAAAGTATGGAAAGAGCCCAAATGTCCATCGATGGATGAATGGATAAAGATGTGGTATGTATATACAATGGAGTATTACTCAGCAATCAAAAAAAAAAAATGAAATCTTTCCATTTGCAACTACATGGATGGAACTAGAGGGTATTATGTTAAACAAAATTAGTCAGTCAGAGAAAGACAAATATCATATGACTTCACTCATATGAGTACTTTAAAACACAGAACAGATGAACATACGGGAAGAGAAGCAAAAATAATATAAGAACAGGGAGGGGGACAAAACATAAGGGACTCTTAAATATGGAGAACAAACAGAGGATTACTGGAGGGGTTATGAGAGGGGAGGGATGGCCTAAATGGGGAAGAGGCATTAAGGAATCTACTCCTGAAATCATTGCTGTACTATATGCTAACTAACTTGGATATAAATTTTAAAAAATAAATAAAAAAAAAGAAGGTCTTTATTCTGGATACTAGTATGTACTTGATTGAGGTTATGGTTGCAAAAATCTTCTGTTCTGTGCTCTTTCTGTCTTTTTATATTATCGTTTGGCAATTAAAAAAATATTTTAGGCTAGCCTCCTGATCAGAAGAGAGCCTAAAGGCCCACTCTCGGAAAGAAACGCCATCATGAAGGTAAAGCCCCCATTTGGGGAGGGAACTGCATTGGAGCTGGTACCAAGCATGCCACGAAACTGGTCCTGTGCTCAGCAAGTACAGACAGAGCCTGGAGTAATGAGTGGGGTGGCTTTCTCAGGCAAGGGGTCGTGCTGCTGATTGTACTTGTATCTGCATTTTCCACTCAGGGCTATCGAGATTCCAGCAATGCACAGGAGCCCTCCAAAAATCATCCCACCCAGTTGCAGACTTTCCCTGTCATAGTAGAAGGGACTATCTTTACCAACCAGGTCTTTGGCTTCCAAGGCAGGCAGCCCTGCCAGTGTGAAGAGAAGGCCCCAGGTCACTCTCTTCATGATACAGCTGCAGGGCAGGGCTGAGAGCCTTTCTCCTGAGGTCACCTGAGAGCTGGGTGTAGAAAGCACATCTGAAGAGGTTGCTGGGGCTGTCTTGACAGTTTGGGTGTAGTCAACTTTCCCTTTATGTTTAATGCCTTTTGTGACTTGTTTAATAAATCATTTACTACCCTTGAGGTATTCTTCTATATTATCTCCTAATGGCTTTATAGTTTTAACTTTCATACATAAGTCATGAACCTACCGGTATTGATTTTTGTCTATGTTATAAGGTAGAACTCAATTTCTTTTTATTTCATATAGATACCAAATTGTTCCAGCACCAATATTCCAGAACAAGAAGAAATTCCTTCTGAGTTGTTTTTTTCTTTTCTTCTAATGTAGGTATAGGAAATGTCTAGCCCTTAACTCAATTGCTTTCAGCTCATAGAGAAAGCAACAAGAAAGGGCTTGATTTATTCCAATAGTTGCTAAAACTCAAAAGAGTTGATTGCTTTAAATTGTTAGTTGTAATAATATGAGGCTAAATATGTGCAAATGGGTTTTTCTATCTAAAACGGGGATCTAGGGGCTCCTGGATGGCCCAGTCGGTTAAGTATCCAACTTCAGCTCAGATCATGATCTTGCGGTCCATGAGTTCGAGACCCGCGTTAGGCTCTGTGTTGACATCTCAGAGCCTGCTTCAGATTCTGTGTCGCCCTCTCTCTCTGCCCCTCCCCTGTTCATTCTCTCTCTCTCTCTCTCTCTGTCTCTCAAAAATAAAGATTAGGGGCACCTAATTGGGTGGCTCAGTCAGTTAAGTGTCTGACTTCGGCTCAGGTCATGACCTCACGGTTTGTGGGTTCGAGCCCTGCATTGGGCTCTGTGCTGAACTCTTGTTCAGAGCCTGAAGCCTGTTTCGGATCCTGTGTCTCCCTCTCTCTGACCCTCCCTTGCTCACGCTGTGTCTCTCTCACTCTCAGAACTAAATTTAAAAATTTTTTTAAAAAATAAAGACTAAAAAAAAATTAAGCAGAGATATAACTTGCTTAACTTATAGTATAAAAAATAGGCTTAACTATATTGAAAATAGAACAATGGATAAAAAATATTCCTAGGCTTATAACATTTAACTAATTCTTTTTTTTCCCACAAGGTTAGTAGTAACAGCTATAATTCATTCAGCATTTTTATGTGCACTCTTACACAACTATGAGTAGAAGTTATGCCCATTTCTCAGAGAAAAATTGAGGCTCAGAGTGACTGTTAACACTATGCTGCTAAAGCTGGAATCCCAATTCAAAGCTATCCACCCTAAATGCTATGCTCTGAACCATCACATTATACCGTTCCTCAAAAGCAAAATCCTTTCAAATCCCAGTTTCATCAAACAAAAAGCCCTGAATGGCCACATATTTGTTGAGATCTACTACTTACCTAATTCATCTGAACACTTGTAATAAAATTATTTGTCTGAAGGGGCACCTGGATGGCTCAGTCAGTTAGGCATCCCACTTCAGCTCAGGTCATGATCTCACGGTTCGTGGGTTCGAGCCCCGTGTCGGGTTCTGTGCTGACAGTCAGCTCAGGGCCTGGAGCCTATTTCAGAATCTGTGTCTTCCTCTTTCTCTGACCCTCCCCTGCTCATGCTCTCTCTCTCTCTCTCAGAAATAAATAAAACATTAAAAAAATTTTTTTTTTAATTATTTGTCTGAAGGAGACTGGCAGCATTACTATTTAGTTATACTGCTAACTAGCCTTCAACCACTTGTACAGCACATAAGAAATAACACTGCTCACATATACAAGAGGAAATATTTAACTAATTCAACTCAACAAACACTTAATAAGTAAAATATTTTATAATGCTTATTTTATACCTAAAGATTATGGGCACATTTAACTCTTTGTTTATTTTCACTATCTTTGTAAATAAATTGTTTTGAGATTTGAGATTCTGCCTCATGGCAGAAGTGAGGCCATGTCTCACCCTCATAGATTCTATCCTATTGTCATGGCACTTTCATACTTGAATTTTCCCTACAACATTACTGCCCAATGGTCAACTAATTTGAAGAACTCAATATTGAATCTGACTGACTCCTGTTTTTTCCATTTACTGAACAAAATTCGACTTGGAGGGCCCATCCAGAAGCAACCTTCTTTCTCCACTTGACTTTTCTAGTTTTGCCTTCTTTAGACTAAATAACACTAAGAGTCTTTCATTCTTCTTGATGTCCTAATTTCATATCCCCTCATCACCCTAACTGACCAGCAGAAAGTTGAATAAACCATCACCTTCTTTACTTCACATACAATATCTTCCTTAACGTATTTGCTTTTTGAGAAGCCACTTTTCACTGCTGCTTTTGTATGCCATCCACAACTAATCATAATAATGACATAAAATTAAATGTCTATTTGTTAACACTACCAAATAGCATTTTGTTCCTATTTTAAAGGTGATTGAGGGGTGCCTGGGTGGCTCAGTTGGTTAAGCATCTGATTTCAGCTCAGGTCATGATCTCACAGTCTGTGGGTTCAAGCCCCTCATCAGGCTCTGTGCTGACAGCTCAGAGCCTGAAGCCTGCTTCAGATTCTGTTCTCCTTCTCTCTCTTCTCTCCTGCTTGTGTTCTCTCTACCAAAAATAAATAAATATTTAAAAAAATTTTTTAAAGTGATTGAGTCCAATATTTCTATATTTCTCTCACTCTTAAAAACAATCTCAATTATGTTGCCTATGTACTTACAGATCACTTCAAATGGTTTAAAATTCACACACACACACACACACACACACATTTCTTGAGAGGAAATAAAATCACCTCTAGTAAAACATGTATCTAAGTAATTTCTGTATTTCACTCTTTAGTATGTAGGGATTTTTTGGTCACTTTTTTTCTTCACAATTCTTTTCTTTTAGTGAAGTAAGGAAAATTCTGTTTCTCTGCTTAGTCACATTCTCAGCATGTGAATGGGACAACACCTTTGCCTCTCTCAGAAAGATTTTTTCTAGCATAGCCAGTTATAATTATGAAGCCTTTCCTTTATTCAATTATAGAAGTTTCTTTTTCTTTTTGAAGAATTACAACTGATGCTCCAAAACACTCAATTATGCCTAGCAAAATTCCATTATCTCATTTCCCAAGGGGTACTACTGAGCCCTGCCCCACCAGCCAGGATACACAAGAATTCTGTTTTAAAGCAGTTCCACATGAATGCCTATTTCTCCCTTGTGTTCTCCATGGCTGGGAACCACCTCTTTGAAAAACACAATGCCATGCTGAATGTGCATTTTTCATTAAAATGTGACCTGTTTCCAGGCTGGTATCTGTGCTCCACATTCAACTAACCCTTTGGCCAAATTCACACCCACATATTTTGGACATTCTTCTGGCCTAAAACTGCACCCAGAGCATCTGTTCTGTGCAAAGGATTAATGAAAAAAAAAATGTGTGTGCAGGTCAGAAGCCAGTCTAGTGACTGCACATCCCCCTTCAGATGCCTGATCAGCTCACAAAATGTATGAGACAACTATCAGCCATATGGAGTTTATAGCTTACTTTAAATCTTAAAACTTTTAAAGTAATAGATGGGAAGACCACGAGAGAGAAAAAAAAAAAAAAAAACAAGAACAAATCTTAGAGAACATTTTCTTTCTGTTTTAGTTCTTGGCCATTTGATAATCTCTGATGGTGTCTAATATTAGACTCTTAAAGAAAATCTTTTCCTTAGGCTGTTCTATTATAATCAAGAGTCCAAGAAAACACTGGGCTATTTTTTGTATGATTAGAAACGAACAAGAAAAATATAATTTTAAATATCATAATAAGTGGAGGGGAAACTTATGTACATTTTCCTTTACCCAGAAGTCTTCATTTTCCTCTTTCCTCTGCATCAACTCCAGAAAGAAAAGCCATAAAGACAATCAATTTGGAAAGCAGAACTTAAAACATATTTAAGGAGAATGTATTTTTTTTTAAATATTTTTATTTATTTCTAGGAGAGAGAGAGAGAGACACAGCGTGAGCAGGGGAGGGTCAGAGAGAGAGGGAGTCACAGACTCTGAAACAGGCTCCAGGCTCCAAGCTGGCAGTCAGCACAGAGCCCGACGCGGGGCTCGAACCCACGAACCGCGAGATCATGACCTAAGCGAAAGTCGGACGCTTAACCGACTAAGCCACCCAAGGCGCCCCAGGAGAGAATGTACTTTTAAAAGATAGATATATTTAAAAATAAATGAATAAAAATATAGATGTTGATATTAATATATTTTCTTTCTTTTTTTTTTCTTAATGAAATACATAAAGAGTGCACTAAAGACTGATGTCTAGACTTTATTCTCAAATAAAATCTCCCAAATTAAGGGATACCTGGGTGGCTCAGTCAGTTAGGCCTCAAGTTCCTTCTTGGTTTTAGCTCGGGTCATGATTTCACAGTTGGTGAGTTCGAGCCCTGCATCCTACTCCACACTCCACAATGTGGAGCCTGTCTGGGATTTTCTCTCTCCTTCTCTCTCTCTCACCTCCCTCCGTCCCTCTCCACTCACTCTTTCTCTCTCTCAAAATAAATAAATAAACTTTTTAAAAAAATCTCCCAATTTATATACCATATAAATCCTCACCTAAATTTCCCTTTTGCATACTAGAGAGTTAAATGGTCATAAACATGACTAAAAAGGCCTCTCCTGTTTTTGCCTAAGGAGATGACTTTAAGGACTATATAATCTTTCATAATCAAAGATGTAACATTTCTCTCTATCCTTCTGCTATATGCCATGGCCATGTGCCACCCAGGCAAGAAGGAGCCAACATCAACAGACATCTGCAGTTGAACCCTATGAGTTATTTGGACCAAAACAGTGAGGACCCTCTATTCTGGCCACCAGATGTTGTAGCCATTTCTCCAAATGTCCTGTTGGTGAGCTTGACTACTTAGTTGCCCTACACAGCATTCTGTATTTGAAAGAGCTATTATGATTGCCTCTGATTCTCCCTTCTAATCTACGAAAACAGAATGGAGTTTCCACCCCAGTGCCTCAAC